TTGATGATTGAGTGGTGATATTCATAACATCGTAGTTAGCAACAAAATTTAGCCGAAAGTATGAAAAAAAGCAAGTTGTAAGCCATTATAATTATAGGATGGCTTTAATAAAAACATCGGTATTCACGTACGCCAATTCCCTATCGACCCATCCCACCATCCATGCCATTCGTTATTTTTTAGTCGAGATCATTTGCGGTCCCTATCGGGGATCATTTCCGGTCCAGGATCATTTGCGGTCCAATTTGGGGATCATTTGCGGTCCGGGATCAATTGCGGTTCTGGGATCACTTGCGGACCCGTACAAATCAGTAAACGCGCGCATCGCCGGATGAAAATTGACGACTTCCGTTCGAATGATTTTTTTCTCTATTCATGAGTTTATTCATGAGCCATATAATATCCTCGACCGTTCGGTCGTTACGGGAAAATTTCAAACCTTGGCCTACCGTATTGACCTCGCTATCGCTCGGTCAATACGGCAAGGCCTCAGTTTGAGATTTTCCCGTAATGATCTCACTCTCGGTTATTAGGCTGATTTAGCAAGAGAACGGGAACGTCACTTGACGACGGCGCGCGCAGAACAAACACCCAAATATTAGAACAGAATTAGAACAGAATCCAGGTTATTCCGCGCGCCCTGCAGTCGTCATCTAACCATATTTGGGTATTTGTACTGGGCGCGCCGTCGTCAAGTGACGTTCCCGTTCTCTTGCTAAATCAGCCTAAAAGTCATTAAGGACGGTGCCTACTCAATACAAAGATTTTTGCGCCAAGTTAGGATCATGCGGAAAAAATAGATCCTTGTAAAGGCTACTAGAATCCACAAAGAAAAATGGGGGCAACCACGCATTTTTTCGAGATAATTAGCCTTGAATCTCAGCAAAAGTGCTGACATCAACATTTTTCTGAAAAAAGAAGGAAAGCATATTTCTTCACGGATTTCCTTAGAATTCGCCTTCGCATACAGAAAAGCAAACACAGTTATAAAGATCTTAAAACTACATGGTAAATGGTAACATAAGAACCATTTTTGGTATGTTTTTAATAACAAAATCGTTGCAACAGCGCTTTTGGCGTCCCTGACAGCCTTCCCCTTGTTCACCTAAAATACAATCTAAATACCTTTTGCTCTCAACCAGAAACTAATCACGTGTTGAATAGGCTTGCCACTTCCATTTCATAGCGTAAAATGTAGGGGTAACCACGCGTTTTTTAAACTTATTGATCTTTTTTGAAAAGTTTTATGGTGCCCGTTACATTTTTCCTGTCACCTTCCCAGTAAGTAAAACATTTGCGTATCTCGCACTTGTTTTGCGCGCACACTACGCCATCTGCATGTACATGTTTACCATGGATAGTATCCATGATGTTTACAGTTCGATTTCAGTATAATTTTCAACAGATAACAGCTAGTTTTTCAGCTGGAAGACGTTAACCGTTAGTGTTTAGCGATATGCTGCTATTCTGGTGTTCCTGGTTTAAGTACAGGTTCATTAAACTTGATGTGGTCACAGTAGCAAAATTTTGCTTTCATTTTAGTCGTGTACTTGGTAGCGTAGTCGATTGCGTCAATGTCAACCCAGCGCGCGCGTGGCGCATAAAGCATGTCTCGCGTGATGCGCAGAACATGTGCGCACTAACAAAAGTAG